ATCTTAATAGGGAAACTGAGGAAGGGTTTAACACGATGAGAGGCTCGTGAGATTGCTAGAACAGCCCCCCCGACCCAGGCCTCCCCTGGGGACCCGTCTGTTGTGTGGCTGGGTGCTGCTAGGAAGCTTCCCGACCAACAGAGGTGTCCCTGGGAAGGCTATGGTATGGGAAGTGGGCTTTGGTTGTACCAATCCCCCCCTTGAGAGGCGTCTAGGGCCGCAAGGGCAAGGCTTTCCTCTTCTCTTTTAAATCAAACTGTATTTTGTTTTTCCAGGCTTGCCGGTGATGAGCAACCGGACTGATGCCCCCCAGAATAGAAGGGGCTGGGTATTATGGGTAAAAAAAAAAAAAAAAAAAAACCAAAGATATGTGGAATGATATGTGAATCATATTTGAAATTTCTCTCACTTTTTTGGTGGGCCACACCAGTTCTCTTGCAACACCACACAGCACACTGCACAGGTGTGCAGTAGGTATGCATTTAACATGATTAAAGTTCATTAAACTAATACTACGACAAGGTGTGTGAATCCCATTACCTTCTGGCCAATACAGTACTTTCCCCAAGTTCCCTCCTCCTCCTTTCCTCCCTGTCTCCCCCCTCCTTGCCTCCCTGTTTCCCTCCCTGGTTCTGTGGCAGATTCCTTCCCGTAATGAATTTGTTACGCTTATTCCCAGAAATACAAAATCATTTAGAATTTTTTGAAACACCCTGTTTTCATCTAGGGTACCAGAGTGGCCCGGGGTCACTTGCCCGGCCGGGCCAAAAAAAATAAAAATAAAAAAAAATAAAATAAAAATGATTTGAAATTTGGTAAACAATTTCGATGTGACCCTGAGGCAAAAGTTGTTCACTTTATTTTTCTGCATAACATAGTTTTTTTTCGGTTTTTTTTTTTTTTTGCTGGGACCGTCCTTTGTCCTTGCACGGGCTCGCCACCCGGGACCCGGGCGGCCCTAGGTTTTCATGCCATTTTGGCCCCCCGTTTACCTCCCAGCTGCCTCTTCCTTGCCTCCCCCTTCCCATCACTCTCCCTCCCTGTGTCTCTCTCTGCTTTCCTCTCTGTTTTCGCTCTATTTTTATCTTCCTTCCTTCCCTCTCCCAACCCCTCCAACCTTGATGTGCCCCTTTCATCATTCCTGCCATTCCCACAATCAGCGTTCTCCATCCAACAGAGTCATTAAAAGGGGTTGGTAAGCACACCACATGTTCCTTTACCTTCTGCGCCATGTACTCTTCAGTCATTTGATGGTATGATGCCTGTGCTTGTTGGTTGTGAGCAAGCTCCTGTACTTGGGCAACAGCCCGTTCGATGGTCCGTGGAGAATGAACTCCACCTACATTCCTCCACTGCTCACCCACTTTGTCAGAGACAAGGGCCTTCATAGCTTCCTTCTGCTCAGATTCCCACAAAATCTGTCTTTCCTGAGCCTTTCTCCAGCGGCTTCGCCATCGCATGATTGCTACCGCTATCACAGCCAAAGCTTGTTTCATCTTTACGTACTGCTTCCGTTGGCTCTGGCATCTCCACAGTGCCTGCAATCACAACAGCAACAGTCACGCCATCAGTGCACCACCATACACATGAGCACCACCACCACCATTCTGACGATGACGGGGATCATCACCATGCACACGAGCACCACCACAACAACCACCACCATCATGACGACGACGATGGTGATGACCAAGATGCTGACCATGAAAACCACCACCACCACCACTACCACCACCACCACCACCACAAAAACAGGCAAAATAACCACAATAGCAACAAGGACCCATCGCCTTCTTTTCCATTGAATTCTGATGAATGAAGGTTCAATATACCATGATTTCAGGTGCTTTTTATTGTGTGCGGTTCTTTGATCCCCACCCTCCCTCTTCTTTCCCATTGCTTGCCAGGTTGTTGATACCATGATTTCATTGAATATGGGCCTCACTCCACTACTCACCAAATGTGCAAAATGAGAATGAATCTTCGCTAGAACATGGAAAGATACACTGCCATATTTTTTGTCTTTTGTGCATGTGGTGAGTAGTGCAGTGAGGCCCTATATGACAATTAAACAATTTCCATCACGACTGTCAAGTATAGTGCTCTATGTGCACTCTGCAGTTCTTTGAAACGTTTTTTTCCTTTCCATTGCTTGTCAGTCGACAAAGTCGTGATTGCTATGAACGAGTCATAATAAATATTAATAATCTTTCAACTGCAAATTTGTGTTTTGTTTGTTTGTTTGTTTGTTTGTTTGTTTGTTTGTTTGTTTGTTTGTTCTCTATTTATTTGTTTGTGCGCGTGTGCAGGCGTGCGTGTGTGCGTGCATGGACGTGCATGCACGTGCATGGGCGTGGGGGGCACGTGCATGGGCGTGGGGGGCACGTGCGTGGGCGTGGGCGTTTTTGTGCATGTGTTTTAGACTGTCACCACCCAGATGAGTACATCCAAGATTGAAACAGCCTTACCTTAACAATCTTCTATTGAGTAATGAGTGAGACTTGTGGCGATTGTAATGTTTTGATCGCATGTCCGGTGTGTGTGCATGCGCCTGTTGTAAGTTTCCACCACAACAGCCCCTATTCCACCCAGACAAGTAGATTCCAGCTGAGCCAGCACAACAACTAAAGAATTTACTTCTCTAGCAAGCAACATGAATCATAATTGAACCATTTTGAATTGTGTTTGGTTGGGGTTTCAGTGTGTGTGTGTGCGTGTGTGTGTGTGTGTGTGTGTGTGTGTGTGCGTGTGTGTGTGTTTGTG